TATCATCTCCCTGGACCCATTGGGCCCAGACCCTTGCCTTGAGTCAACCTTGGTTGACCCAATTAGCCATATGCATCTAAATTAATTTAAATTCAATTTCAAACATCCCTTGGATTAAACCCTCTATCACTTGGGTCTAATTGACTAGGTGGACCAAGTTAAACTTTGACTTGGTCAACCCAAGTCTTCCTTGGGTAAAATTAATCTATTTAGGTCAATTTGATCATATTTAAAGCCCTAAATACATTACTAATGAGCTTGAATTCAAAGCCATGGCTAATCCCTCTTATTTCCCTCCTAATCATCTCTAGGGTTGATCCTAGATGTCAATCTCAAGCCCCAGCCTTTAAATAGGAAGATTAGGGTTTCATTCAAGGGATCTTGCATTCTATTCTCCCCAAGAGCCTCCAAGCTCGAGACTTTTGGTGTTTGGGCTCCTTGAACCTCTCTCCACATTCCTCCACCCAAATCCACTGTCAAACTCTCGCTAGCGGCAAGATCTCCGGCAAATCGAAGCTCCAAACTTTCTAAGAAGTTTTGCATTCGATCTAAGTGTTGGGAGCTTGTGGAATCTTCTAAAACTTTATTCTTGGATAGCCTATAAGTTTAGAGAACCCAAGATCTACTGAATTCATCTATTGGATTGAGGTAAAATCCTAACCCTAGGCTAGAGCACTTAGATCTTTTTAACTTTTCGAAAAGCCTCTTTTATGCCAAAAAAATCCCCCCATTATTTTTTTCCATACACTTGATATGTGTTTAAAATTTTATTAAGATTGATAGTGTATCTAGGGAGAATGAGACAGTTTTCATTTGTAGGGTTTCAGATCATGCAGTGCTTGTGTAATAAGTGGTCCGGACCGTTGATCTTATGATCAACGATCCAGATCTTGCCTTTTGGCGTGTGCATCTGACCGCGAAAGCCCTCGGTTGGATCAAGAGCTCGTTTAACTCGTTCTTCATCATTGATCTAGCACCGCACAAGATCGAACAACATACTGCCTAATGTTGACTCATTTATGTAATAACGCGTGGGTCCTGCACATTAAATGCTAATGATTTTCGGAGGCACAATCATTGACATTTAATGTTAACGCTGTGCAATCATTTCCGCAGACCACGTATTCAATCCCGAGTCGCCATGTCACCTAACCGCCATCATTTTAATTAATTTAAAATTATTTTTTTTAATATAGATTTCTTTGAAAATTAATTTAAAATTAATTTAGAAAATTATTATCTTTAATATAAACGTAAAATTAACTTAAAATATTAAGTATATTTTAAATTATTTTTGGTTATTAAATATTTTTTTTAAATTAATAATTAATTATAATTGATTAAAAATATTTTATAAAATTTAAAATCCTATTTTAATATATATTTTTTATAATTCCATAGAAATATTTAATATATTTTAATCAAATAT